GTCATTCTGTCCATCACAGGGAGATAAAGATGACGCTCTCCCATTGAGTCTGTCTTCTAATTAATGAAAAAGAAAGATGCTGCAGCCATCAGTAACAATCCTACAAGTGAAACCTGAAACACTGACCTTCAATGTAGGCTTCTTCTCATCACATTCTCCAATGAGGAGGCAAATAACTTCAGATGTCACCCTATCTCCTCACCTGTTTCTTCACTAAGACGAAAGAACTCTAACAGACCACCCCCCTTTCACACCTGCTTACCATGACTACCCTCTCAAATTCATTCAGCTGCCATTGAAAAAACTTCAATGTCCTACTTCATTAATACTCACAAGTCTCAGTGCAGAGCAGGATTCTGTACATACAGTAGGCAGGTGGGAAAAGCAAGGCAGAAGAAAATCAAAATCTATTACCAATTCTGTTCTATCTCCTTTCTTACAGTATTTAATTTCTACTGTCATAATTTACCTCATTTATGTCAAATGAGAGATAACAGTACTTAGCTTATAGAACTGTTATGAGAATAAAATTACTTTAAACCCACCAGCCACTCAGCTGGAAAAGATGACGCAGTCTGTGTCCTAAAGATTTACAGCCTCAAAACCCTATGGGCAGTTTTAGTCCAACCTACTGGGTTGTTATGAATTAGAATCAATTTGATGGCAGTGGGTTAATTTTTTTTTTTATTTCCATCTAGTTTTGCACACAGTGAGTTATAAATAGTAGAGGGTTTTTTAAGTCAAAACTGTAAACTTGCACAAAGAAAGAGTTTCCAGCCCAAAGTTTCTGACAATACCTTCTAAAGGGATATGCCATAACTTCAAGCTCAATGAGATGCAAAATGTTTCATTTGCCCCAAAATATGCTCTTCCTCTGAATTCCTCAATTCTATCATCGGGTGCAAATTTGATACTGACTCTTTTGCCTTTCCTGCCTCCAATATCTAACTCACTGCTAAATTTTGCCAGTGCAATCACAATTAACTCTTTCCTTTCTGAAACTCCCTGCCCACAACCTACAGCAGTTCATTCATTTCCAGTCACCATTTATGCTGGGATCATTACTCTCTTTCTCAACTTTTCAAAATCCATCAAAGTTAGTCTCACTGCCTTTCTATTATGTTCTAGTAAAATTGCAACGAAAGGAAAAGGAGGAGGCCAAACTCCACTTGTTATTCAAAGCCTTGTGTATCAAAAAACTCTTTCTAGGTCTTCTTACCTACAACACTTCAAATGGAATTACCTGTTCTCTGAAAACACTGAACTCACCAAAATTGCATACTTTAGGTACATATAGTTAATCAATTATATTTCAATAAAATTGCACAGTTTTTTTAAAGAGACATAGTTGTTCTGTGCTATATGCAAATACTTATTAAAAAGCTAATGTAAAACTTATCTGACCCTAAGCATCACCAACAATGTTGCTGTTCATTGCTGTCAAGTCTGAAGCAACTCATAGCTGACCCCCCAGTAGGTTTACAGAAGTTATAAACTGCACAGGAGGAGACTGCTCATCTTTCTCTCACACAGCAGCTGGTGGATTTGAACTACCTGCCTTTGGATTTGCAGCACAACTCTTTACCCAATAGAGCTCACCAACATTAGAGTCACATAAATACACAAGATTTCCTGAAGCTTTCTCACTCTTGCGGTTTTGTCTACTCTATAGTTGCTTTAAAAGATCCTGGTGGTACAGAGAATAAGTGTTCAACTGCTAACCAGGTCATCAGTTTGAACTCATTAGTCATTTTGCAAGAGAAAGATGTGGCAGTCTGGAAATCCTACAGGGCAATTTTGGTCTTTCTTATAGAATTGCCATAAGTTGGGACTGACTTGGGTTTGGGATATAGTAGTTTCTGAAAAATGGATTTTTAAATCAAGCTGACCTGGGCTCACTCTCCAGCTCTATCATCTACTAGCTATGTGACCTTGGGCAAATTACTTCTACTGTCAGGGCCCATTTCTTCATCTATCACATGAAGAGACCAATTATAATTCACCTTACAGAGTGGTTGCAAGGATTTAATTAATTCAGTGGTACTGCATGGCAATTTGCATCCTGGTTGGTCAAGGCTGGATAATTTTAGTTATTATTATACTGTATTTCATTTCTATATACCTCACAGCACTAACTATACTGTACTGTAATTGCTTCTTTACGTGTCTCTCCATTAGCTTATAAACTCTACACCGTCTCTTCTGTTCCACTGGATCTGCACAGTAATTACTAAACATCTTCCCACCGTTGCTGCCAGATTCACTGAGCAACCCCTGACTTTTCTGCAGCTTCCTACTTTCATTCTAATGCACCTTGAGATTACCACGGCTCCAATAATATTACTTTAGATGACAGTCTCTTCTAACAGAGAATCTGGGATGATGAATTAATTTCGCCAGGTGATTTAGGTACTAAGTGACCCTGGTTGTTGCTTTACCTTTTAAAAAGCACTTATATATGGAAAATGAGGCAGCTTACAGGATGAGTAGGGGAAGTAGGGCTCTTGAGGGTGAGGAAATTCCAGAAATTATAGAGAGGACATTTGAAGATCAACCTGCAAATATGTTTGGAGTCGGGGTGAGAGATCAGAGGCGCACAGTCTACATCTGGGGAAAACCGAGCTGGGCCCAGACCTGGGAGTCTGTTCTCCTGTATGTCTGTCCTTCGAATGAACCTCACCTCCTGTACTTTCAGCTCCTCCAGAGTGGGCAGCTCCACTATCCCCGGCATGACGGCTTCAGCCTGGACCCCGACGAGGTGCCCTCAAACAACTCGCCCCGGTCTCCTTGAACTCCCCTTACGAGAGCCAGAGGGCCATACAGTGACTGCGCATGCGCGGCTAGCGGCACGCAGGCGCATTGATCTTCCTGGCCACGAGCAACAGAGCGTGCGCGATACCAGGAAGTTCGACGTACTCTAAGAGGCGGAGCCTGGAGTAGGCTCCGCCTTTCTTTACTGGTTGTCATAGTGAAGCCAAGTACACTGGGACTCTGGTTCCCAACTTTTGAACAGTAGAAGCAGGAGTCATGCAATACACCGGGAGCAAATATATTGGGGAATATGTGGATGGGAGGTAAGGGCCTCACTTACTTCACTATGTCTTGAAGATCTATAACTGAGGAGGGGAAGGCGTTATTTTTTTTTTTTACTCCTAGGAGGCACGCTTACTAACCTTGACCTTGCCCCTTTTAACCTTTATGACAGCATTTGAGATAGTATTATTTATTCCTTTTTTTTTTTGCTTTTTTTCCTTTTCTACTAGTTTATTTACAAAATTCGAATGCAAATTTGAACAAATTCTTTCAATTTCCCTCACCCCCCTCCCCATCAAATTGTACAACCCAATGATTAATCACCCTTCCCCCGGGCATCCTTCTGCTTCCAGCCTCTTCCACCCCTCCAGGATCCTTATACTCTCTACAATAACGGTTTTGTGCCATATTTATCCTTGTGGGACTGAGTTAGTTAACTCAGTATAATGCTCCCCAGTCCCTCCCAAGTTAGATAATAATTTACAAAGTTATTGCTCCTGCGCATAGTATTCCATTGTGTGAAAATACCATAATTTCTCATACGTTTCTCAATCCATTCCCATACTTAAAGTTAAGGAAAATTAAGCAAAAAGTGCAGAGCTAAGATACATTCATCTACTATGTATGTGTGTTTTCTTATCTGCTAGTTTTAGGATTTAGAAAAAAATATAAAAAAATAGTTAAGATTTCTGTTTTCATGGAGTCAACTTGAGGTGTATTGCCAGTAAACAATAAATAATAATATTATTTCAGATAGTAGTAAACGCTGTGAAAATTAATTAAACACGAGATTAAGGAAGGTGCTGTGCCTAATTTGAACCCAGGAAGCCTGAGTGGCATCCACTTCCTAAACAACATGCCTCTGGAAACACTATGAATTTTATAAATGTCAATAGTTATAGAAAGATTTCAGGCCTTTTGTTCATAGGGTAGCTATGAGTTATGTTCTACCCAATGGCAATCAACAACAACAATATATACATGGTATACCTTCAAAGTTCACAGTCTAGGTGATATTAAGGAAAATTGTGTACACAATCATTATAATAGGCTGGTAATAAAAGGTATTCAAGTGAATAGATGTCAAGAGTACCCAGCCCTGAATTTAACTGTGGAAACAAAACCTTAACTCTCAAAACTGTCATGCAAATACAATGGGGAATGTTGTTGGGATATTGAGTCAGAAATAACTCATAGCTTACCCTCCAGCAGGTTTTCAGAGACTATAAATCACATAGGAGGAAACTGCCTATCTTTTTACAAAGGAGCAGCTGGTGGATTTTAATTTCTAACCATTGGATGGGCAGTATAACTCCTTACTGCCTAGGACACCAGACCTTTCTTCTCCAAGAACTGTTGTTCTTATGTACCATCCAGTCAGACCCACTCATAGGTGACCCTGCAGCATGTTTTCAGAAGTTGTTCTTGTTAGGTGCCTTCAAGTCAAGTATGACCCATAGTGACCCTATGAACAATAGATCTGAACCTTCTCCTATCCTGTGCCATCCTCTCACTTCCTGACACATTAGAGCCCATTGTGGCAGTCACTGTGTCAAACCACCTGGTCAAGGGTCTTCCTCTCCTTTATTGAACCTCCACCTTTCTGAGCATCATGTCTGTCTCCAAAGAATAGCCCCTTCTAGTAACATGCCCAAAGTATGTGAGGTGGAACCTCATCATCTTTGCCTCCAAAGAGCACTCTGGCTGCACCCTCTACAAGACATATTTGTTAGCTCTTTTTCGCAGTCCATGAAATGTAAGTACTCTTCTCTTAACAACACAGCTCAAAGACATCTTCCTCACATGCTTATTCATTGTCTAGCTCTCAGATGTATAGCAAGTGATCGGGAAGACCATGGCCTAAGTCATATGCACCTTAATCCTCAAACTGACATCATTACTCCTCAGTAATTTGGAGAGGTCCCTAACTGCAGACTTTCCCAGTGCAATATGTCTCCTGATTTCCTGGCTACTGGTACCGAGTTCGTTGGGCTAGATGAAGTTGTTGACAGTTTCAACCCTTTCTCCATCTATCACGATGTTGCCTACCAGTCCAGTGGTACAAATCTTTGTTTTCTTGACATTGAGATGCAATCCGTATTGAAGGCTGTATTCTTTGATCTTCTGCAACAAGTGCTTCAACAACTCCTCCTCACTTTCAGCAAGCAAGGTTGTGTCATCTGCATCAATAACCAAAGTTATTAATGAATCTCCCTCCAATCCTGATGTCACATTCCTCTTCAAAGAGTCCAGCTTCTCAAATAATTTGCTCAGCATACAGATGGAATAGGTATGGAGAGAGAATCCAACCCTGATACAATCTCTTTTTAATCTGAAACCATGTAATGTTCCCTTGCTCTGCTTGCAAAACAGCCTCCTGATCTAGGTACAGGTTTTGCATGAGCGCAATTAAGTGCTCTGGGATTCCCATTCTTCTCAATGTTAGCCATAAACTTGTTATGATCCACACAGTCAACTGCCTTTTCCTAGTCAATAAGACATAAATAGACATTCTTTCTGTGTTCTTTACTTTCAGCCAGGATCCATCTGATATCAGCCATGGCCTCTTCTAAATCCTGCTTGAACTTCTGACAATTCCCTATTAATGTAGGGATACCATTAAAAAAAATACCATTTTTGAATGATCTTCAGCAGTATTTGCTTGCATGTGATATTTATAATATTATTCAAAAGTGTCCACACTCTGTTGGATCACCCTTCTTGGGAATGGGAATAAATATGAACCTCTTCCAATCCACTGGCCAGACAACAGTCTTCCACATTTCCTAGCATAGACTGGTGAGCATATCCAGGGCTGCATCTGTTAATTGAAACAAGTCCATTGCTATCTCCAATTTTTGTGGCCTTATTTATGAGGCATCTACTTACTTAGGGAGCTCTCGTGGCCTAGTGGTAAGAAACTGCACTGCCATCCCTAAGTATAGGCAGTCTCTTCCTGTGCCTCTGAAAACCCCCTGGAGGGTCAGCTGTGGGTCAGTTCTGACTCAATGGTGCCCAACAACAAGGACTACTTTATGAACAGTAGAGAAACATGGATAGTTATAGTAGTAGTTGTAGATCCCAGATTGCAAGTCATTTGAAATAAGGAAAAATAATGGCAAACAATCTTTAATAAATGGAACATGGAATATATGTAGCTTGTATGTTGAAAAACTAGAAATTGTAAAAAATTAAATGGAATGCATGTGACATCCTAGGCATTAGTGAAATGAGATGAACTAGCTTTGGCCACTTTGAATCAGATAATCATGATATACTATGCTGGTAATGAAAAACAGAAGACTGGTGTTGCATTAATAGTCAAAAAGTCACTTTCTTCAAGTTCTACCCTAAAATACTATAACAAGAACTGCTAAAAGAAACATCAACTCTATTTTGGATGAAGTGCAGCCAGAATGCTCCTTAGGAGAATGGAAGAGAAGATAGTCAGATTTTGTCTAATGTACTTTCAACATGTTATTAGAAGAAATTAGTCCCTGGAGAGGGAGTTCCAGTGGGTGATGGATATTATCCATACACACATAAGCAAGGCTCGTTAATATGACTACTATTCAAATACACACTCCTACGTCTAGAGACAAAGAGGGAAAAATGGAAAATTTTCACCAAATCTTGAAGCCTAAAATCGACCAAACATGCAATCAGGATGCATTAGTGATAATCGGTGACTGGAATGCAAAAGTTGGAAACAGAGAAGAAGGAATAGCAATTGAAAATATGGCCTTGGTAATAGAAATGAAGCTGGAAATAGAATGATTGGATTTTGTATTTTCAATGATTTATTCATTGCGAATACCTTTTTTTGTTTTTTAATTAATTATTTTTTAATGCAACATATATATTTTTTCAGCATTTTCTTTCCATTTCATTTTTCTCCCATTCATTCATTGTTGCACATTTTCCTCCCTGCCCACCCCTTCCCACAAATACCTTTTTAAAAAGACACAAATGGTGACTTTATACATAGGCCTCACCTGATGGGCTGCATAGGAATCAGATTGATTACATCTGTGGAAGGGATCATTGGAGAAGCTCAATATCAGCAGTAAAGACTAGGCTGGGGAGACTGTGGCTCAGACCATCAAATATGCATGTGTAAGTTCAAATTGAGGCTGAAGAAAATGAAAATAAGTCCAGGAGAACCAATATATGATCTTGAATATTCTATCTGAATTTCAAAATCACCTTAATAGGTTTGAAGCACCGAACACCAATGATCGAAGACCAGATGAGTTGTGAGGTGATTTCAAGAATATCATCTGTGAAAAAAAGCAAATGGTCATTACAAAGACTGAGGAAAAAGAAAAAAAAACCCAAAATAGATGTCAGAAGAGACTCTAAAAATTGCACTAGAGTGATGAGAAGCCAAAACAATGTAGTAAAGGAGCTAAAAAGAGTAAAAGCGAAAGTAAAAGAGCTGAACAGAATATTTCAAAGGGCAGTTCAAGGAACAAAGCAAAGTATTATATTGGAATGTGCAGAGAGCTGGACTTGCAGAATAAAAAGGAAATTACTTGCTCTGCATTTCTCAAGCTAAGAGATCTGAAAAACAAATTTAAGCCTCAAGTCACAATATTGAAAGATACTAGGGACAACATTTTAAATGACCCAGAAAGCATCAAAAGAAGATGGAGGGAATACACAGAATCACTGTACCAAAAAGAACTAACACTGAAAAATTTCGGGAAGTACCATATGAGCAAGAGCAGTGGTAATGAAGGAGAAAGTAGAAGATGCATTGAAGGTGTTGGCAAAAAATAAGGCCCTAGGAATCGATGGGATTGAATTGAAGGAATTTTTCAGAAGTAGTAAGTTGCATAGGAGTAAGTTACTGCAGAACAAGTGGTGAATTCAAACTGTTTTCCTTTGGTTTGGCCGCATAATTCCTTACCACTGAGCCACCAGAACTCCTTCTCCAGGGACTAATTTCTTCTAATAACATGTTAAAAGTACATAAGACAAAATCTGACTATCTTCTCTTCCATTCTCCTAAGGAGCATTCTGGCTGCACTTCATCCAAAATAGAGTTGATCTTTCTTTTAGCAGCTCCTGTTATAGTTAACGTTCTTCTCCAACACCCTAATTCATACACATCCATTTTTCTTCTGTTTTCCTTATTCATTGTCCAGCTTTCACATGCATTTAAAGCAATTGAAAATGCTATAACTTGGGGTCAAGTACCTTGAAGAGCTTATATGTGAAAAAGCAGGAAGTTAATTTTGATTAGTGTATAAGGAAAAGAAATGGTGTCAGCTCTAAGGTGCACCTGATCCAAGAAATAGTCTTTGTGATTACGTGTTATGCATATGAAAGTTGGATAGTGCTTAAGGATGACAGAAGAATTGATACTTTTGAGTTGTGGTGCTGGAAAAGAGTATTGAATATCTCATGGGTTACCAAAAGAACAAACAAGTCTGACTTGGAGAAAGCGTTACCAGGGTGCTCCTTGGAAGCAAGAATCGTAAAATCTCACATACTTTGAGCATGTTGTTAGACAATCTCCCTTGCGACTTACAGTCTCACAAAACCTGAAGAGTCAGTTATGAGTTTCTTGACTCGATGGCACACAACAGCAACAAGCTGATTATGAAACAGGAACAACACAGACCAGCTTCCAGGAAACCTGGATCCTAGGCTCTGCTTCACAGTGTTTACTGTGTGCCTTTGAATACATCCTTTTCCTCTCTTTGCCTACAAGAAGGTTGTTGAATCAAGGTTGCTGGCGCAGAGTGAACTCTGAGCAGGGAGACCAAACTCTGAAGGCCCTCCTCCATCACAACAAGATAATGGGTTTTTTGTTTTGTTTTGGTGTTTTTTTTTAGATAATGTTTTCATTTGTTGAACTTTTAAGGGAAACAAAGAAAGCATTTGGTTGAAACAGGATATTATTCATAAAATCTGAAGACCATGAGGATATGTTTCCCTCCTATTTTCTTGCCATTTTAAAAAATCATTCAAATACCACATGAGTATCAGTGATTTCCACTTTTCCTTACAGGATGGAGGGCAATGCTGAGTACATCCTCCCTACCGAGACAAGATATGTTGGGGAAATGAAGGATGGCATGTTTCATGGTGAAGGAACCCTGTACTTCCCCAATGGGAGCCAGTATAGTGGCACTTGGAACAAAGGACTGGCTGTAAAGGTGATGATCTGAGAGCTGCAAAAAAGAAATATTTGGCAGCAGGAGCCCCCACTGCTGTGGTGCCCTTTCCTCCTATGTCCCTAGTCTTCCTTCTCTCAATTTCTCGAGTTTTCTCTCTCTAAGCCCAGAGAGCCCCTTGAGAAAGCCATGATGAGTTTGAATCTTGTGTATGCTACTTGCTGTGTGTCTTTCAGTCAGTGTCATTACATCTCTAAGCCTCTGTTTCCACAGTTATAACTTATGCACAATAGTTCTATGCACCTCCTAGGATGGTTGCAAGAATGGATATGTAACACTCTGCTCAGTGACACTCAATGACTTTTAGCTCTTATTACTACTATCACCATCAGTAAGACTATCAGAAAGTTCTTGTATGTACCATGGGAGTGACAGCTGACCTCCACCAACTTAACAAAGGGGAGAGAATCACAATCTACAGCAAAGGCCCAAGGCTGTGTCCTATTACAGAGTACTATATACAGATATGAGTCCTGTGTATAGATAGGCTTCTACCCTCCCACTCTTTTTATCAATCCTAACACTAGCTGTCCTTCCTGTGATATTCCCTATTTCTCCATTGGACTCAAGAATTTGTGACAATTGCCATGCATAACTCATAACCCACACTTATACTGGGCTTAGGAAAGTACCATTTTACAAGTTAGGATCAGGAACAATTCAGGATATAGTCCTTTGATCAGGAGGAGCTCCTCTTCTCTGCCTTGCCTGCAAGCATGCTGACCTCTTTCTCTGGTTCTCAGCTCTTTATTCTAGCACTGTCTTGCTTGGGTAAATATTAAAAAAGCTCTTTTAGCTGCGCTGATACAAGAGACCAGAGGCATATCCCCTCCACCAGTAAACCTCCTCTCCAAAGGTGTACATGAGTTGGCAAACCTAGCTCCATGGATAAGTATGCAGAGGCAAATTCCGTTTACCAATACACTTCCTGCCCAGAGTCTCAGTTTTCTCACTCTGGAGGCTGTGCAGCATGTCACTCTGGTTCACACTAATGTCCTGATTCTGTTACCTCAGCTACTGTCATTTCTCTGCCACTGCTTCTTACCGTCTCTCAGGTGTCACAGCTCTCTGTTTCCTGCATCAAGGATGTCCTAGGCACAGAGATCCTAGGTCCAAAAGATGCACTCTAAGGGAGCTCTGGCGGCCTAGTGACAAAAAGCTGCACTGCAGTCCTGAAGGTGTGTGGTTCAAATCCACCAGATGCTCCACTGGAGAAGGAGGAACAATCTCCTCCTGTGCCAGTCTGATCTGATTCGACAGTACACAACAAGAGAAAAAAAAAAAAAAAGAAAAAATAAAAAGGAAAAATTATGTACTCTATTCCTGGCTCTTCTTTTTTGATGGTAGCGTGATACCTCTGGGATCGCTCATTTTAAGTCTAGGGGTTGACAAAACTGATAAATCCATGTTAACAATCCATATTATTTATTCACGTGACCTTGCCCTACATGGGTACCTCATTTATATTGTATATCTTACTTGCATTATTATCAAGCTGTTCAATTCCCTTGGGGCCATATGCACATTTGCATTGTCCTATCCAGTCATTAGGGATTACATCAATATAGATTACATCTCAACATCAAGAAAACAAAAATCTTCACTATTGGCCCAATAGGCAACATTATATAGATAAAGACTGAAGTTGTCAACCATTTCATTTTACTTGAACTCACAATCAACCCCCATAGTGACAGTACCCAAGAAATCACAAGACACATTGCACGGCGAAAATCTGCTGTCAAAGACCTCTCTAAAGTGCTCAAAGGCAAAGACATTAAAGACTGCAGTGCACTTGATCCAAGCCATGGTCTTTCCATTTACTTCCTTTGCATCTGAAAGTTGGACAGTGAATGAAGATGACAGAAGAAAAATCAATGCCTTTGAGTTTTGGTGTTGGAGAAAAGTACTAAATATTACATGGACTGCCCAGAGAACCAAACAAGGCTGTCTTAAAGGAAGTGCAACCTGTCTCACTTATTTGGGGCATTTTGTTAGGAGGGGCCAATCCTTGGACGTCATGCTAGGAAAGGTGGGGGAGTCAGAAAAAGAATTGAAGACCCCATCAACAAGATGGATTGACACAGTGACTGTAACAATGAGCTGAGCACATGAGAGATCAAGAGAATGGTGCCGGATAGGACAGGGTTCAGGTTTGCTGTTAATAGCGTTGCTATGAGTCAGAGTCAGCTTCATTGCACCTGTAACAACAACAATCCAGCCATTTGCTGGGAGATACAAAGACTATACCTGGGAAGGCCATGTTAAGTGAGTTCTTAGCCTGGGAATTATGAACCATGAATCAAGGAATCAGTGAAATCCCTCATTTATACACAAAATTTTCTGTAAATATGTGGCTATACTTTTCTCTGAAGAATCCATTGCTTTCATCCATTTAACTTGGAATGATCTGAGGACTGGCTCGTGACCTTAAGAAGGTTTTAAAATCCTTCCTTGTTTTATATTTTGAAGAATTTAAGCCCTAGGAAGGGGGTGTGACTTATCCAAGGTCACACAGAGAATTACTAATATAGTTGGAATTTCCACTCAGGTTTCCTGATGTCCAAGCCAATTCTATTTCTACACCCTGGGGCTTCCTTTAGCAGTAAAAGAGGAATGTAGTAAGTTTAGACAAAGGGTCATAGCTGATAGCTCTGACCTTTTATCTTTGATAATAACAAAAGAATAATAACAACTAGCATTTACTGAGTTCTTATTTATGTACTAGGCAATATGCTGAGTCCCTAGGATGTATAATGTCACTGACTTCTCAATCAACTCTATTACACATGTATTCATAATTATTATTTTCATCTTACAAGTGAAAAGCCAAGGCATTTCTTGAGGTAAGGCATCCACCTAAGGTCACACAATGAGTTGCACTATTTTGAGTGTCAGGCACAGAGTTTGGGACTTCATATCCATTCTTTCCAAACATTGCAACCATAACTTCAATACTAGTTATCACTTCTGTTCTGCAAAAAATAAGAAAGCCACCTCTTCCCTTGTCATCCTGTGAAGCCTTTCGTTCTGGCAGAAAGTTTTGGTTTCTCAAATGCCTATGTGTGCTCTGTGTCTTCCAGGGTACCTACACCTTCTCAGATGGACTACAGTATGAGCCTAAATTCTGGCATTACTGTGACGGCTATGATCGGAGGTTTTACACAGAGATTTGCCGTGGCTTGAAGCCTGCAGGTACCCAAGCATTCTCCCTTTCCTTCACACCCAGACAGAGGGAGATGAAAGACAGTCTCAAGACAGTGGGTCACAGCCTATTGAAGTAACCCAAGAAACAAGGAAAAAATGAGCAAATACAACAGAATACAATGAGCCATGTTCTAGAGCCAAAAAAACCTAGGACGAAATCTCAGCTCCTCTCGACTAGAAAAGGAATCATGGGCAAAGGGCTTCACCTTTCTGAGTACAAGTTTCTTCAACTACAATATAAGACAGCATCTATCTCACAATAGTGTCATAAATGGTTTAATCCACATAAAGTGTTTAAAATTGTATGTAGCATACCTAGAAACACACATTTGCACACAGTTTATATCAGATATTATTAATTGTAGTACTATCTATAACATTAACATGGCGTTACTATGTGGCATCAAATTGGTTCCAACTGATAGTAATCCTGTATAAGAGAGCAAAGCACTGCCTGAGCCTGTGACATCCTCACATTGCTATGCTTGAGCCCATTGTAGCCATTGTGTCAGTCTCGTTGTGCCATCTCATTGAGGGTCTCTGCCTCTCCATGCCTGATGTCTTTTTCCTGTAACTGATCCTTCCTGATAACACAGTAGATGAGACAAAATCTCTTCATTCTCACTTCTAAAGAACTTTCTGCCTGTCCTTCTTCCAGGACTTGTTTGGTTTGGCAATCCATGGTATATTCAATCTTCTTTGCCAAGGCCATAATTCAAATGCATTGATTCTGCTTCAGTCTTCCTTACTCATTATCCAGATTTTACACACTGGATTGAAAATATCATAGTTGGGTGAAGTGTACTTTAGTCCTCAAAGTGACTTCTTTGCTCTTTTTTGCACTTTGAAAGAGGTCTTTCACAGCAGAGAACTGTGTGAATATTACAAAGAAAGAAGAGAAGGGGAAAGAGCCCCAAGGAAGGAGCATGTACCAGGTGTGGGGTGTGGATCTCTCTGAATGCCATGCCATCAAGTCTCCAGGTGACCCTGACAGGTTGACCTTCTTGGTCCTATGTCATGGGGAAGAAACCTGAGTTCTGAGTTACAAATGTTCCTCATTTCTATGCAAGTATGTCCTCTCTGAGGCTTCCTGTATCACACTACCTCCAAAAACCCATACTCTGTGTAAACCAGTATAAAAGAAAAAAAACCTCAAAAACAAACAAAAACCAAAAGGCACCAAACTCCATCTCAGTAGTTTACATTTGGGCCTATGCCTGGTTGCAGAGTAGCCTCTGAAGGGACTCACCTTATTGCTGAGACTTTTGAAGTGTCAGTTGTACTTCAAGACAAGCACAATTCTTGGCACAGCAAGAACAATATATCCAAAGTGAAGGGTCGGGAAAGAGCTTGAACTATAACAAGCAAAAACCCCACTTGAGGTATAACAGGTAATTTATTGTAGTTAATAGAGCATAGGGTGAGCAAGTCTAGGCTTTAGTATCTTCTCTTCATAGCTGGACGGGCCTAGTCAAGTCAATCTCTATCAGGGCAGAGAGCTTCAGAAACACCAAGGCCTTGGGGTCAGGCAGACCTCAGTTCAAACCTCTTTCCCCTTTTCCTGGTTTTGTGAACAGTTAAGCATCTTGTTTTCTTCCTTCGCCAGCTCCTCCCTCCCTCCACCCCTGCCCAAATAATAATTAATGCAAAGGACCCCAGGACTCTCTTTTCAAGGCTTTCTTCTGCTTCTGCTCTGTACCTTCTCCCCAGACACGTGGGTTCACTTCCAAGCCTTTAGGTACCGTCATTTTCCAAAGTGAAATCCAAATCCCTGAGCCTCAGCTTCCTGCATTCATCTCTCCAACACCTATATTTGGTTGTCCTTCAACTTGACTGTGATAAATTCCAGCTACTTACTGATTGCTGCCTCAATAAATGTCTTATCCAGTTGGACCTAATGCTCTTTTCTCTCTCCACCATGTGCAAGCCTGGTCCTATGAATTCTGCCTCTTATATATATTCATTCATTTGTTTATTTAGCAAATATTTCTTGAACTCTGAGGCAGGCAATACTGCCTTCTCTTTATACTCTCTCCCACTTCCTTCCCTGTCCAGATCTCCATCATCTCCTCCCTGGGTTAGCTCATCTGAGATCCACGCTTGACCTCCTTTGGTCCATTCTTCATTCTGCCATCGCCTTTGACTTTTAAAACTGGAAATGTGGTTGTTCCTCCATCTCCTGCAGCCCTTCGGTGCCTCTTCCTTCCTCACTTACATTCTCTGCATCATGCTGGTGCCCCACCTCTTCTCCTGCTGCCTGCCCTTCTCTGTTTGCCTCTTCTCTGACCATACTTTCTTTCTCTCTGTTCCTCTAAGAGAACAGGCTCTTTTCTGCCATTCCTTCTACCAGAAGGTGCTAACCTCCTCATTTCACCCAGGTAACTCCCTTCTGTTCTTCAGATCTCAGTCTGATACCTGAGTTTGAGAAGGGGGTTCCTTTGTCTGAACTCCCACACTAGGTGAGATCTCCATCCCTGTGACATGTCACAGCACACCTGTGATCTCCTCTAGTGCCCTGATCCTGAGTGCACAGCATCTGCCTTCCCCGGAAGACAACTCCATGAGGGTGGCATCTCTGTCTGATTCACAGCTCCATCCTAGCACACTTCCAGCGCGTGGTATATACATTATAAAAAGCTACTGTCATACAGAGATGAAATAATACTGGAATCATGTGGGAGGGGTGGTGGTTAGTGAGCTTACAGGAGAGAAAGCAGTGACTCTGTGTCAGACCTGGGTAGACCCTGGAGACACAGAGATGAGAGAGAGGGCTGCTCTGCTTTGAAAGGACTCCTTGTCCAGATCCAAGGACTTGGTAATTTGCTCCTCCTGGATGAGTTGGAGTGGGGCCTGGACTTTGTCATGGGCTTTTTACTACTCAGGGAGCTCTGATGCTGTAGTTCATAGGAAATTGCACAGCCAACCCAAAAGCCATGGTCCCTTGAAGATTCATATCCACCATGGGAGAAAGATGGGCAGTCTTCTACCATGTAATTTATAGTCTTTAAAACCCAATAGAGAATCAGCTGTAAGTCAGTTCAGACTCCATGGCAATAGTTTTTTACTACTCCACACCTCACAAGGCCTGCCGGCAGAAAGCCCTCAGCCTTCGGCCCTCGGTTCCCACATGGTGACCAGCTTTGCCAAAGCTGGGCCTCTGCCAGTCAGAAGGCAGTGTACCTGTCTGGCCCTCCTCCAGCAGCTGCCAGGAGGGCAGCCTTAGTCTAAGTAGCCACTTCCTTCCCAGTCACTCAGTGTTTTGCAGATGTCCTCAACAGACTCCTCCTCACTTCCCCCACTGCTCCCCCACAGCTTCATCAAACCGGCACAGTACATGCTGCTCCTTTGTCCTGCCCGCAAGGTGAAGAGTGCCCCTTAGCTCTCTTAGCCTCTGGGAGATGGGTGTGTTGGCATGAAGCTTCAATGCGAGAATGTCTATAAAGCACTTGGCACAGAACAGATGCTCAGCAATCATTATTAACCAACTTGAGAGTATCTATTGTGTGGGGGACACTGAGTTGTGAATATGGTGCTGCGCTCAGAGGGCATCCAGCCCTCAATTCAGATGCAATAACATGTTACATGGCAGGCAGCTTCCTCTCATAAAGGTTTGTAGCCTCAGAAACACAGTGGTTTGCCATGAATTGGAATCAGCAATGGAAGTGGGTTCTGTTGTGCAGAGAGTGTCACTATGAGTCAGAACTGATACAATGCTACCTAGTAACAGCAATCAATTAGAAGGGACACGAGAAGTTATTTAGTCCAGACTTCTACCCATTGAGTTCTGGTGACTTCATCTGTAGGGGATTGTGTAACTAACCCAAAGGCTGCACAATTCTGGGGGTTGAAATCCACCAGCCACTCCCCAGGAGAGATGGGCAGTTTCCTCCTATTGTGATGTACAGGCTTGGAAACACACTTGGAGGGTTGCTATGAACCACCTTGATGGCACCCTTACTCAGTCCATGTTGTTCCAAGATGCACAACTCACAGGACTGCTGGACAGGATGGCTTGACAAGTGCCCTGACTATGCTTGTATCTTGAGGGGTTTAGACATCTGTGATCCTAGGGGCCATGCTTGGGCCTCCTCCTAAGATATCAACAGCAGAACACAGATACAGAATTGGCTGCTAAATTTGAATTTGGGATCTGCTGTTTCCTAACTAGATGGCCTTGAGTAAGTGAATTTATCTTCCTGAGCTTCAATTTTTTTTAACCTCTAAGATGAGGCTACAGTGTTGCTATGATGCATAAATGAAATAATAGGAGTCAAATACTTAGCATAATGCTTGGAATATAGTAAACAATAAATGGCACCTGACATTATAATTTTGGTGATATTTAAGGTCCTACTGACCTTACAAGGTCCTCGCCCACATTTCCCGCTGTTCTTCCTCACATGTGTCCTACTTTACAAAGTTTCCTGAGTGAGGCATAATAGTTCATGCCTCTGGCCATTGCCCGCTTCTTGAACACAATCTCTCTCTGGGATCCTTTCTATCTGAACAACTGATTCGTCTCAGGGTGTCTTTGAGTACAGAACCTGTGCCCTATGTCCTGGTGTCATGGAAAATGGGGGATGAGGCTAAAAGAAGAAAAAAAATCGAGTTCCCAAGATGCTACTCACAGTGCCGTTTTCAAGAAGCTCCTTGCAGCACTGTTCTTGCTGCTCTCTTGTGTTCTGAATTGAAGTGAGGCCACTGCTGTTGAGTGGAGTCCAGTGGGACTAGTGACCATAAGGGCAGAGTAGAACTACCCTACTGGATTCCTTAGGCTGTGAATCTTTATGGGAACAGAGTGACTCATCTTTCTCCTGTGGGGCAGCTGGTGGTTTCAAACTGCTGACCTTTCAGGAGCAGCCCGGTATTAAACCTACAGCACCACCACAGCTCTTGTATCATGAATGTTGTTGGTTAGGTGCCATCGAGGCATCTCTGACTCCTAGCAATCTTATGAACAACAGATATGAACCCTGCCCCATCCTGCACTAGCCTCACGATCTCTGTCAAGCTCAAGTTCATTGTGATGATCCACCTTGAATAGGGAATGTTTACTCCAAAAGTGTAACCTAAGATTCATGTGAGCAAAAGTTAACTTTATGGAGGTGGGGATCAGGTTTAGATTTGACCCAGTGGTAAACTAAATGTCTGTTCTTTCAAGGTATTTCTCAACTCAGCAATATGGATCCACCTAGAAAAATCCCTCAAGGTCATTATGATTGTGGAGACGGGTTCTATAACCCAGAAACGAGGGTAATCAAGGATTACAGGAACCGCTTCCTAAGAAATGCAGGTATATTTATTCTGACACTCTGTAGCACTTGTTTTCTCCTCCATTCACACACAGGTTTGTCCACAAGTGTGCATATACACATTTGCATAACTTTGATGACAAAGAAAGTTTTGCTGATAAAAGGCAAAAAGTGATTATCTGAATGCTTTACTGCTTGAGCTTCTCATGGGTGGTAAGTCTCCATGTGACCAGGAAGTACAATAAAGGACATTAGTGGTCTAACAGTAAACAGGAGATCCTTCTACAGGATGGTAGGAGAGAAGAATCTGAAGGACCATGGTCCCCAGGTGGTCCCAGCTTACAGGGTGCCTGCTAACTGACTTGGGCCAGTGCCTTCTTTCTCTAGGTTCCTTTCTCTTCAACGGTAAAATGAAGGAATAGAACTGGATAATTTCTAGGATCTTTCCAACATTAAGAGTCTATAACAGGAAAAAAGCCTACAACCAGGAAAGAACAAAATAGATGAATGGGACCTCCTAAAAATGAAATCCCCATGTACATCTCAAAAAACTTCTCCAACAAAGTAAAAAGGAAAACCAGACTGGGAAAAAACATTTGGTAATGACATATCTGATAAGGGATTCATATCTAAAATTTATAGAATACTGCAGCCCCTCAAAAAAATGGTAAATAATCCAGTCATAAAATGGGCACAGGATATGAATAGACACTTCACCAAAGATGACATTCAGGTGGCAAACAAATACATAAAGAAATGTTCAAAATCCTAGCTCTCAGAGAGATGCAAATAAAAACTGTGAGATATCATCTCACCCCAACAACAATATCAAAGTTCAACAGATCAGCAAACAACAAATGCTGGCGAGGTTGTGAAGAGACTGGAACTCTTTATTCACTGTTGGTGAGAGTGTAAATGGTTCAACCACTATGGAAGGTGATTTGGGACTTTCTCAAAAAGCTGGAAATAGAAATACCATTTGACCCAGAAATTTCACTGGTGGGAATAGACTCTAAAGAAACTAGAACCACCATCCAAACATGTATGCACACCCATGTTTGTTGCTGCATTATTCACAATAGCAAAGAGATGGAAACAACCCAAGTGCCAGTCAACAAATGAATGGATAGAAAAACGATGGTATATTCATACAGTGGAGTACTGTGCGGCACTGAAAAACAAGGAACTCATAAAATACTACACAACATGAGTGTCCCAGGAGGACATTATGCTGAGTGAAATGTCTCTGTCTCAAAAGGACAAATAATGCATAGCTCCATGGTATGAAACAAGACTGACATGGGGGATTGGGAGGAGAATAGGAAAAGAATGAGTAGATAATGAACACTATATAGGAACAGATGAGGGAGAGAACTGTTTAAAAGAAATATATGATTAGGAATGATATGTAAGACAACAGTCCAGAATAATACATTGCAATACAATAGTACATTGTAAAGAGGACTGGCAGAGGGGGAGAGAGGGGGGAAGGAGGAAATTGCAACAGTGCAGGAATACTTTTTTAAAAAAATTTTTTATTGTTATTAATTTTAATGAAAGTTTACAGAGACTGAGGATTTCCATTCATTCATTGTTGCACTTTTCTCCCTGCCCACCCTTCCCCTCCAGTTCATTCTTCTCTTTGAAAAGTAAAAGAAACATTCTTTCATTGTTTTACAATCCCTCCCCCCCAGGTCCACTCCACTGCAAAGCCTTAGCTCTGGACTGCCTCATGACAAAAATACCTAATCACATATCCCTTTTAAACAGTTTCTCCCTCATCTGTTTCAATGCAGTATACATTATTGAGCCCATCTTTCTCAGTCTTCCCCCAACCCTGATGTCAGTCCTGTTTTACAACAGTGGCACTATGCAGCATTTGTCCTTTTGTGAGTGAGATACTTCACTCAGCATAATGTCCTCCAGGGTCACCTATTTTGAATAATATTGCATGAGTTCCTTGTTTTTCAATGCAGCGTAGTATTACATTGTGTGAATATACCACAGCTTCTCTAGCCATTCGTTTGTTGATGGGCTCTTAGGTTGTTTCCAACTTCTTGCTATTATGAACAAAGCCACAATAAACATGGGTGTGCATATGAATACTTTTTTTTTTTAAAAAAAGTAAACTGGGAAGGAGAGGGAGGGAAATCTGCAACAATGAATGAAAATTCAACTTTTCTATAAACTTTCATTAAAATCACAATTTTTAAAAAGAATAGTGTGAAACAGTGTATATGAGCTTTGTAAGAAAATCAATATAAAAGTTTTTAAAAACCAAACAATAAAATATCTCCCCTAAAAAAAAGATAACAGTAAAACATGTATGGGGACCCAAGGGAGAAAAGGGGTGGGAGCAGAGGGGTGAGGATGGATAGGGGCAAAACCACAAGGTTGCACAGTTTGGTGGGTGGAGGGAGGGGGTGAAGGAAATGGGAAGGATAAGGCAGGGACCTAAAAAGATTGGATAATGATGGGCAAGGCCCAATAGTGATTGATTTTATAAAATATAATGCATGGGAATGATTGTATGAAGCCCAATGTGAATGGTGAATAATATGAAACACAATGTATATGAACTTTATGAGCAAACCAATATAAAATTTTCAAAAAACTAAAACCACAAAAGAGTCTATGATGGAAAAGAAAGGCAGCCAAAGGGTATTTTGGTCCAAATATTATTGGGAAGATCAAGTTCTGAGTGACCTGACTAAGAAGCAGTCTCTGTCTGTGGCCACTTAGTCATTCCCCTAGACTCACCTCTGACTAATGCAGGACTGACTTGGGCTTCTGTCCATCTTCTGTTTTGGCCAATGCCCATTCTTCCCTGCATTCCAGTGTCTCTCCATAAACATTGCTTCCTGTTGGCATCCTGAAGGCATGGTCCCCTGACCTTGTGTGACTGAGGAAGGTAACTGAGACCATCCTAGATTAAAAAAATTCACCTCAGCCATTGCTCTCACAAAGCATATGCCCTATGGATGAGTCAGAGCTGGAACACTCACTTTATGGGAGGTCGTGGGCTGAGGCACCAGTATAATAGTCCCTTTGGCTTACCTTCTTGCCTCTTTGAAGTGCCTTGGTTCCCTCCATGTCTTCTATGGTGCCTTGTCCCAACCAGAGAAGCTTGCTCTGCACCTAACTAGAAACCTCAGAATAGCCAATCCCAGAATGCTTGACAAATCTGGGTTTATTAGACTTGAGTTTCCTTTAACTAAGAATGATGGTATCTCCTTTACAGGACTGCTGTGAGAGTTTAAGTCCATCTTTCCACTCAGCATTCTTTGGGCAGACAAGGTTCTATATCCTACTTTGGTGAGTTGTTGTTGTTGTTGATTGCCTTCAAGTTGAGCAAGACTCATAGTGACCCTATGAACAGGCCTGAAGCGCCTCTACAACTATCGACATTTATCAAAGTTCATAGAGTTTCTGGAGGCATGTTATTTAGGAAATGAATCCAAACTTTGGGAGTAGCATCCTAAAAGCTTGCAGGCAGTCAACTATTTGTTCTATCTCTGTCTGGAGCAAAGAAGAATGAAGAAAGTCAAAGATTCAAGGAAAGAGTCCAAAGCATAGCCTTCATACCAAGGGACCAGAAGAACCGTATGATACTGGATGCTACAACTGACTACTTTGATTGGGATCACAATAGAAGGTCCTGGTCAGAGAAGGAGAAGAATGAGAGGAGAAATAAAAATCATAAAAAAGACAAAAATTAATGGTTTGATAGGAATTGGTACACCAGGGATGCATTTTATCTCCATACCTTTTCAACTTATATGTGAAATAGATCATCCAAGAGGCTGGGCTCTATGAGAAGAAATATGGCATCATGATTGGAGGAAGACTCATCAACAACCACATTATGAAGATGACACAACCCTGCTTCCTGAAACTGATGAGGACCTGAAGCACTTGCTGCAGAGGGTCAAGAACTGTAGCCTCCAATATGGATTGAAGCTCAACATTAAGAAAATAAAGATTCTTACCACTGGGCCAATAGGCAGCATCATTATAGATGGTAAAAAGATTGAGATTATTAAAAGTTTCAGCTTGTTTGGCCCCACAATCAACATTTTTGGTACTAGCAGCCAGGAAATTAAAAGACAAATTGCAATTGGAAAATCCACTGTCAGGTACCACTCCAGAGTATTAAAGAGCAATGTTGTCAGTCTAGAGACTAAGGTGTGTCTGATCCAGGCCATAATCTTGGCAGTTACTTGCTAAGCATCAGAGAGCTTGACAATGACTAAGGATGATAGAAGAAAAATCAATCCCTTTGAGTTGTAGTATTGGAGAATAGTATTGAACATACCATGGACTGCTAGACCAGTTTAATCCTAGAGAAGTTGAAACCAGACTGTTCTTTGGAGACAAAGATTTTGAAGCTTTGTATTACATTCTTTGGACACGCTGGAAGGAAGGACCAGTCTCAGAAGTCATGCTTGAAAGGGCAGAGGGAAAGCAAAGGAAAGGAAGACCCTGGATGAGACGGATTGATCTAGTGACTGGGGTAATGAGGGTAGTTATGTCAGAGACAAAGAAATTGGCTCAGGATAGAGCAGGGTTTAGAGCTGTTGTATGTCAGGTCGCTATGAGTCACAGGAAACTCAGCAGCACATAACAACAGCAATCCCTAGGAATCACCATTTAGTCAGTAGCTTGGCCTCTGTATAATGTGCTCCTTACAGTGAACCATATAAAATCATTTGCTCAGAAACAAAGTTCAGAAGGCAGAAAAGGGCAGTACATTTTTAAAAAAGGACAAATGAAACAGGGAACCCAAGGAGGAAGTGGAGAAAGTGCTGTTGTAATGAGGGAACTAATGTCATGAAACAGTGTATCAGTTGTTGAATGGGAAACTAATGTACTCTGCAAACTTTCACCATAGTGAAAACCACAGTGAAATGTTGACAGACTTCTTGGTGCACCTATAATGTGGTAAGACCAGGGCAGGCAAGACTTTCTCTTGGACTGTGGCTTTTTTTTTTTTTTTACCATGACTTATAGAAAGAAATATTTTACATCGTTAACAATTACA